ATGGAGACATTACTTGATGGGTAGGAAATTCATTATAAAAACCGACCAGAGAAGCCTTAAATTTCTTACTGAGCAGAAATTGTTGGGAGAGGAGCATCACAAGTGGACCACCAAACTGTTGGGATTTGATTTTGAAATCCACTACAAGCCTGGTTATGAGAATAAGGCTGCAGATGGGCTTTCAAGGCAGATGATGTATGCTGCCATATCAAGGGTGGAAATGGAGGAGTGGCAGAAATGGGAAAAGGAGTTCTTGGAGGATGCTGAAATGCAAACTTTAATACAAAAATTGATCATTGACTCTGACAGGTTGAAGGAGTATGAACTGAAGGAGGGAAAATTATTCTTTAAGGGCAAGTTGGTTTTGCCCAGGAATTCTACCAGAATTCCTCTTATCATTCAGGAGTTTCATGAGACGGCTATGGGGGGACATGCTGGAGTGTTCAGAACCTTCAAGAGGGTGTCGGCTGTATTTTTCTGGAAGGGAATGAAGAAGGATATCACTAAATTCGTGACCGAATGTCACATCTGCCAGACTAATAAATATCAAACATTGGCTCCAGGGGGATTGCTGCAACCCTTACCAATCCCTACCCAAATTTGGACTGACCTTTCCATGGATTTCATTGGTGGACTCCCAAGAGCTTCGGGCAAGGATACAGTTTTGGTGGTAGTAGACAGGTTATCTAAGTATGCCCACTTCTTACCCCTATCCCATCCTTTTTCAGCACAGGAGGTAGCCCAAATGTTCATTCGGGAAGTAGTGCGACTGCATGGGTTTCCCGAGTCCATTGTCACGGATAGGGACAAGTTATTTTTGAGTCAATTCTGGTCAGAATTGTTTAAATCAGCAGGCACTAAATTGAAATATACTTCGGCCTATCATCCCCAATCGGACGGACAAAAGGAAGTGGTTAATAGGTGCTTGGAGGATTATTTGAGGTGCTTCGTGGGCGATAAACCCAAGCAATGGCCTAGGTGGCTAGCTTGGGAAGAATTTTGTTTCAACACACATTATAATCAGTCGGCGGGTATGACTCCATTCAAGGCGGTGTATGGAAGGGATCCCCCAGCGATTTTTAAGGCTCCAACCTTTCCGTCCAAAGTGGAATCCGTGAATGTAATGGCAGAAGAGAGAGATGGGGTTTTGGAGGAGTTAAAGGCGAACATTGGTAAGGCACAACATAGGATGAAACAGCAAGCAGATAGGAAGAGAAGAGATGTTAACTTTGAGGTGGGCGATTGGGTTTATCTCAAAGCCCAACCTTATAGACTCAAATCGTTAGCGAAAAGGAGAAATGAGAAATTAGGCCCGAGATACTATGGTCCTTTTCGGGTGTTGGCTAAGGTTGGTGCTGTGGCTTACAAGTTGCAATTACCGGAGAGCAGTAGAATTCATCCAGTCTTCCACGTCAGTAAATTAAAGAAGGCCGTCCCGCTAGAGAAGCAAGTACAGTCCCTTCCGGAGGAAATTTCTGTAGATTGGGAATTGCAGCCACAGCCTGCAGAACTCTTATCTTACAGGTACAACAGAACAGGAGAACTGGAGGTGCTCATTCAGTGGCACAACCTACCGGACTGTGATAATTCGTGAGAGATAGCAATCAAGATGCAGACTGCATTTCCACAATTCCACCTTGAGGACAAGGTGATTGCTCGAGGGGGGAGTATTGATAGGGGACCTGTGGTTAAACAGGTCTATGTTAGGAGGGAATAGGGGGGTAGTTAGTTATTTTTGTAACTAACTGATGACAGTCGGGTGGGGACTGTTAAATTGTATAAATAGGAGGGAATAAGGGGGAGGAAGGCATTGGGAAGTATTGTATTCTGGGAGAGATAGGCACTCTCGAATTGCCTAGTTCACTGTATTCTGTCCTTCTGGTTGTGTTGACAGCAAGGACTCAAGAGCAATAATACTACAATCTTTCGTTATTTTCCAATTCTCTCTTAATATCCAGTTGAGACCTATCAGAATGACTTGATGAACACCATTAGTTTTAACTTTGGATCCATATGAAAGAGTGATATAATGCAGATTTTGAGGTTGGATATTTTGGAGAATAGAGATGAATTATCGACTACGTGATCGGATGCACCTAAGTCCAAAATCCAAGGACTAACTGTTAGAATAGTGGATTAAGCCTAACTCAACCCTACAAAACCGGCTTGTAAGGTGAGGGTTGCTTTCCACTTATATACTATTCAATTGCCTAATCTCTAGTCGATGTGAGACTCGGGTTTTTTCCAATACACCCCCTCACGTCCAGCACTATTGGGCTTGGTACGTGGATAAATGGTGGGTGACCCTTTTTTAATGATCTAGGATAGGCGGGACTTGGGTTTTTCCCAATACACCCCCTCATACCTATGAGGCATGCATCAATGGTGGGTGATTCATTTTTAAAGTGGATCTAAATGGCTCTGATACCATGTTAGAATAGTGGATTAAGCCTAACTCAACCCTACAAAACCGGCTTGTAAGGTGAGGGTTGCTTTCCACTTATATACTATTCAATTGCCTAATCTCTAGTCGATGTGGGACTTGGGTTTTTCCCAATACACCCCCTCACGTCCAGCACTATTGGGCTTGGTACGTGGATAAATGGTGGGTGACCCTTTTTTAATGATCTAGGATAGGCGGGACTTGGGTTTTTCCCAATACACCCCCTCATACCTATGAGGCATGCATCAATGGTGGGTGATTCATTTTTAAAGTGGATCTAAATGGCTCTGATACCATGTTAGAATAGTGGATTAAGCCTAACTCAACCCTACAAAACCGGCTTGTAAGGTGAGGGTTGCTTTCCACTTATATACTATTCAATTGCCTAATCTCTAGTCGATGTGGGACTCGGGTTTTTCCCAATACTAACAAACGATGATTGAGAAAGATAGGCTATAGAATTACTAGTATGAACAACTATGATTGAGGACGAGGATTGTGATGCATTGTATTGCTGGAACTCCTTATACTCATCATCAGATAACATATTTACTTTTGCAGTTTTAGGATGCTCAGATTTTGGTCCATCGAATGTTTGAGTCACATTTACTAACTTGTTTGGAAAATCAATCAACGAATAATAATCCTCTCGGGCGTTTACAATAAGTGCATTGAGGGCGTCCTCCACCACGACCTGTTTTACCACCTCCATGACCACGACCATAGCCACGACCTCTGCCTCCATTACTAGATAAATTAGAAACAAGAGCAGAAGATTCCAGTCCTGAATGGGACCCATCTTCCTTGGTTCCTCCTGAATTGGGAAGACGTATAAGTCGTCTAACGAGATTCTTTGTTGAAGGAATATCAGGGGTGGCAAGAATTTGACTTTGAACATTGTCATACTCCTTATGAAGGCCATGGAGAACAAAGATCATACAAGTAGTATCAAGTTTCCCAATCATCTTGGTTATCAAGTATCAGGAGTTTAAATTCATTCACCATTGATTGAGCCTTATTGGAATAGGACATGATGTCATCCTTCGTCATCTAGAGAGTGTTTAAGTTGTGAATAACATCATACAACCGTTGAACATCTTTAGAGTAAACACTTTGGGCCTCCCAAATTTCACGACACTAAGTGTAGGAATGATAATGAACCAATAATTATGGTTCAACAGACTGCCATAGAACAAAGACTAGGTAGTTGGCATGCTCCCAATCATCGCATAACTTTTCATCAATCTCAAAAGATAACAGGGTGAGATGATCAAAGTGTCTTTGACCAAGAAACCAGATCTTCATCGCAACAAACGAATTCAAATAATTTTTTCCACTGAGCTTCTATGAAGTTATGATATGATCGTCGAAAAAGCAAAAGGATACAAGACCCTTATTAAAATCAGACAACAATTAGGTCACAAGACATTACATTGCACTGCACCAAAAATAGTATAGCGCGCACAAAAGAGAAGAAAAGGCGCTATTTGGGTAACATCCATTGACCAAACTAGGTCACAATGGAAACATGATGACGGGGCAAGCTGAACAACACTGGTGGCGAGATCACTGGAGCATGGGAGGGTGGCATGTGAACCCCATGTGCCGACGAGCTCTACTCTAGAAATCACGTGTGTGGCAGCATGTGGATGATCAGATGTTGGCAACGCTTTGACAAGATGACCCTCAGACAATGACGAGTTGTACGGAGGACTTGCTGGAACTAGGGCTGGCGACTGTGAACAGTGACAACACAGCAGTGACAGCTAGGGACTGTGAGGTCTGATACCATGATGAATCTGAATGTAAGATGATTATTATTGCTTAAGAAATCAATGTAAAAAAAGGTACATGTTTATAGAATCCTAATTTACTCTAGATAAAGATGAAACTAATGATATAACTAAATAAAGATACACATAGAAAGCAAACTTATCCTATCTTAATAAAGATAAACTGATCATAACAAACTATATCTCAAAATATAGCAATGATTAATCTAGGTTCTGAGCTATTATATGGTTTTGGTAGGACTGTAGGATTTGAATGCTCATATTGCCATTTTTTTTTTCTAATCCTTTTTTGGGCTTAGCATATGATTTTTTTATTTTTTAAGTTCCGGTGTTTGGTCTCCATTTGTTTTTAAAGTGTACTATCTATTTAAGGGTGCTTTATGTGGTCAGACTTGAAGGATTGAGTAACTATGCTCTTCTATTTATTCGTTCTTTGTTTCCGCTTTATCATTGAGTATCTCATATTCTTCAAGTTCATTTTAACTTCATGCTTTGTGTTAATGAATTTATTCTTTTATTTAAGAAAAATAAAGTAGGAAGTTACAATTAGTGAAATAGTTTTTCTTTTTCTTGTTTTGCTAAACACTTGTGTAAATATAGATTTTGAATTAACAATAACAAGTAGTTCATTATGCAGTTACTTCAAAATCTTTTAAATCCAAATCAATGTGGAAGACAGACTGACATAAATGGACTTGTGTCAAGTTGTTAACTGTTACACAAATATTATTTAATTCCTCATTTATGTGGCTCTTTTTACACAGGTTGATCTTGCTCTGGAGCTTTTGGAGGATCTTTTGGGAATAATCCAAGTATGTTTGTCATTCTAGCTTGCTTCATGTATTTCACAAACACTCATCATTATTTCTGCTAAGTTTATTGAATGTTTGTTTTCTGACAATAAGTAACATGTGGACTTCCATCTTTATGCACACCTCTTGCATTGTACGTCTAAACTGCATGTAGCTATTAGCATATGACCTTTTGCACTGTGCATTTGTTTATTGATTTGTTGCAATGCTAGAAAGTTGGTTCAATACTTCTCTCATTCTCTGGTTTCTTAGTATTATGTTCTACTAAGCTTCTAGTAATGACTTCAAATTAAGATGCTGTCATGTCTGTCAGGATGCTCACAATTCACTTGTTCGTGCACGTGCTGCCTTGAAATATATTGTGCTAGCTTTATCTGGGCATATGGATGACATACTAGGAAAATATAAGGTACATCTTAACTTGCTCCAAATGAGAGTAAGAATTATTGCCTTTTCCTCTCCTTTCTTCTCTTTCTCGTCATATTGATACATTGTGCTTTAGCCGAGATTAGAAGTTTCAGTGCCAAATTAATGTACCATGTATATGAGGAGATACACTCTAGATAAGGTTTTCATGATACATGCTTCCCTTTCGATTTCTTTTTATTCCCTACTTGAAAATCCCCACCCTTATTGATGCTAATACTTTAGCTAAGAAATAATCCCGAGTAAAAGTGGAATCAAGTCACAAAATATTCCTTAGTAAATGAGGGTAATACTGAGAAATAATCTTAAGTAAATGAGGAAAGAATTCACAAAATAATTCTAGGTAAATTAATAAATAAATTGCAAAATATTATAAGAAAAGGAAAATAAAAAATAATCATTAGTAAATGGGGAATATATTAGAAAATATGAACTAATCTCGAGTAGATGAGGAAACGAGTCACAAAAAATAGAAAAATATTAAAACTAAGGAATAATCCCAAGTGATGATTTCTTTGAGACTAGATACTTTTTATTATTTATTTTTTATTTATGCTGTTATATTTTTAGATCTTTCTATTCACTAACTAATCTGACAAAATTAGGTTTTCACACTGTTCACTACCCATGGCTCTCCATTTGTAGAGTATTCCTTTACTTTTGTGCTACCCATAAGTTTCTGGATGGAGATCTGATACAATCATACAAGTTGATAAAACTGGAATAAGAAAAAATAATCACAGCAAGATCAACTCTGATTCTTTGTTACAAGACATGCTCAATTGGGAAAAACAGAATACGATACAATTTTGCTGAAATTTTAGAGCTTCAGGTCTCCCAATTTTGTTATTTTTCTCCCCCTAAATCTCTTCCTTTCTTCTACTATTTAAGGTTTTTGACATGCCTACCTGTTGAGCTTCTGGACCTTAGTATTCCTTGCATAAACCTATGTGATTAGGGCCTCTACCTATCACTTCTATGTAACCCTAAGCCCGTGACACCTATCACCTTTGTTTTTCTCCAATCACAAGATGATGAATCATTTACCTTTGGACTTTCTTATATGGATTGGGTGAGGCTATGTATTTAAATAGGATTTTTGTTTTGGATTTGAGTGTATGCTAGGAAGCCCACATCGACTAGAGATTAGACAATTGAATAGTATATAAGTGGAGAACAATCCTTACCGTACAAGCTGATTTTGTGGGGTTGAGTTAGCTTCAAATTTACTATTCTAAGATGGTATCAGAGTTATCTAGATCCACTCTAAATGGGCCACCCACCATTGATACATGCACAATGGGTATGAGAGGGTGTATTGAGAAAAATTCAAGTCCCGCCTATCCTAGATCATTAAAAAAGGCCATTCGCCATTTATCCACGTACCAAGCCTAATAGTGCTGGACGTGAGGGGGTATATTGGGAAAAACTCAAGTCCCACATCGACTAGAGATTAGGCTATTGAAGAGTATATAAGTGGAGAGCAATTCTTACCTTACAAGTCAGTTTTGTAGGGTTGAGTTAGGTTCAAATCCACTATTTATATTGGGAAAAACTCAAGTCCCACATCGACTAGAGATTAGGCAATTAAATAGTATATAAGTGATAAACAACCCTCATCTTACAAGTTGATTTTGTAGGGTTAAGTTAGACTCAAATCTACTATTCTAAGATGGTATCTAGATCTATCTAGATCCACTCTAAATGAGTCACTCAGCATTGATACATGTACCATGGGCATGAGGGGCTGTATTGAGAAAAAAGCTCAAGTCTTGCCAATCCTAGATCATTAAAAGGGGTCACCCATCATTTATCCACGTACCAAGCCCAATAGTGTTGAACGTGAGGGGGTCTATTGGGAAAAATCCAAGTCTCACATCGACTAAAGATTAGGAAATTAAATAGTATATAAGTGGTAAGCAATCCTCACCTTACAAGCCGGTTTTGTAGGGTTGAGTTAGGTTTAAATCCTCTATTCTAAGAGGCTCTATCTATCTTAAGGGTTAAGGACTTTTGGCTGTAGCCCTTCTTTTGCTGACATTGTACTTGTTCTTATATATTTTGTATATTTATATAATATACCAGCTGAGAGCAACTCTTAGTTTTTTTGCCATACATCAAATTTCAATTGGTACCTATATACCCATATCCACACGTAGCCCATATATAACTTATATGTGAGGACAGTGAGGTTAGTAATAATAAATTAATTAAAACAATTACTACAATTATATTAAAAATTCATTCTTAAATAGTCCAAACATAATCTTAAAAGCAAACACACATAATATAAAAACAAGTAAATATAACATTAGATTGTTCAAACCCAAGTCATAAATAAACATTACAAAGACAATCATTGAACATAGCAATTGTTAAAAATAATGTTCCAATCTTTAACCAAAACTCCTATTTAACTTGGATGTCATGTGGTGACAGTGCTCTCCATTCTCCAACATCTGTCAAAAACAAATATATTGAAATTGATTAGCTTATATTATATATTATAAATTAAAGAAAACACAAATACATAAGATATTTCACCTTATCATCTGAATCATCATCTCCATATTTTTGCAAATGCTTCTCTGCCAAATTTATATATTGCTTTGGTCCACTATTACCAGTAGAAACTAGAACATGACAAGACCAAAGATTAGATAATCTAAAACAATAATCAAAACTAGCAATACAAGATAAAACTCTAATTGAATAAATAAAATACCACAATGTTCATTGCCTTGTTTATGACCAACTTTGTGCACACACAAGTGCCTCCAACATAAACTCATGAAGTCTAGAAAGACGAGGACTCAACAACCTACCTCTTGTGCTAAAAGCAGATTTTGAAGTAATAGTTGAAATTGGGATTGCCAAAACATCCTTAGCAACAAAGACAAGAGAGGTGCCGCACAATCATGACTTGTGAATATAATGAAATTAGACTTATGATTTCTCTATACTATTAGAGACTCGTAGTATTAGTCTTAAATTATATATATAGGAGTTTGCTAATTTGTACTTGCTTGTTTTTTTAGAGTAAGTTGGCAAGCTATAACTACAATTTTTTTTAACTTACTCTAACTAACAATAAGTAGGTATAAGTTAGCAATTTTTTTTAAAAGGAGTACATTAACAAGTTATAACTACAATATTTTTCAAAATGCACTTAGATGTAACTCAATAAGTTACTCCTAAAAAGACAAGTGGGTGTAAGTTAAAAAATCCCATATATATATATGTTTGTGTTTGTGTGTATATATATATATATACTTATGTTTATTTAATTATTATATATTATTCATTTAATTATATTATTATATAAAACGTGTGTGTTTGTCCCTTTGAAGCTTTACAATTTTAGTTGGTCATACAGTTGTATGTAAAAATTTTATCTTGTGCTAAAATTTTATTTCACTATAAAGAATAGATCAACATGAATCAAGTTGTAGACCACATGTTCATAGAAATTTTGATTCTTTATTTGTCAAATGAATAAACTTGTTAAAGACAAAATCAACTCAACAGATTGAACAGTTATGTGGAAGCCCTGTTTATACTTTATATATCTAGTTGGTTACTACAGTTGTAATATTTGGTACTCATCTTGTATGTTATATTTAGTCATCTAAGCTGGAAACAAATTGAAAAGGTGTTTTGTTGTATGGGTAATTATATCTCCGTCATATAACTCCAAATGTCTATGATTCTTTAACCAAGTGGTCATTAAGTGAATTGTAGATAATCATGTGTTTATACGTAATTTTCAAAATAAATAGCTCAAGAGTTGTGTAAGGATCTATCTCTCTCATTGGTAAATAAATCTTGTCTTCTTTTAAATTTCATGGCGATGAAATGATTGAGCTCTCTATCCGTTAAGATGGTGCTTTTCTTCCCTAACAAACAAAAAAGAAGAGCCAAATAATGTTAATACTATTTAATATGCCTTTTCCAGGAAGTCAAACACAAAATCCTCTTTCTTGTGGAGATGCTGGAACCTTTTCTTGATCCTGCCATTGCTGTATCAAAAAGCAAAATAGCTTTTGGAGATTTAGCTTCTTCATTTCCAGAAAAGCAGGAACAAAATTGCACGATTTCTCTAAATATCATTCGTACTGCTGTACGAAAGCCAGCCGTGCTGCCTTCTTTGGAATCAGAATGGAGGCATGGATCTGTGGCTCCTAGGTATTGCATCATTGTCTTGTGTCTTAGTTATATATATATATATATATAGACATATATCAACTAGCTAGAAAACTAAGCATAATTAAGTTAAAATATTTAACGCCAAAATAAAATGAATTTGGATCTCTGACTATTATTATTAATGTTTAAGGATGACTTACAGAGTTACAGGGTTTTGTCCTTTCCATCAATGTATCTAGTTTAATTATAAAAAATTGTTAGAAACTAATCAGATTTCTTTTGTTTTACACGTTTACTTTTTTTTTTTTTTCTTCTTTTTCTGCAGCGTGCTTCTCTCAATATTGGAACCACACATGTTATTGCCACCTGATGTTGACCTTTGCAAGTCAGTTTTGAGACCAACTGATCATGAAACTGCATCTATTTCACCTCTTTCTGCTGGTATTAGTAGTGGAGGTGCTTTTTCCAAGTTAAGTGGTCAAGATGAGCCCGATGGAAAAGCAGATATTTCAGAAACAGCTGGAAAATCTGACTCTGTTGAAGACCGTAATCTACTTTTTGCCCCACCAGAATTGCAGAGTATGACATTGACAAATTTCTCTAATGTTCCTAATCAAAATAGCTCTGTTTCTAACACTGGGGATATGAGCTTGGAATCCAAACATGCAGTTGAGAAACACTCTGCCCATCATTTTCCTACTAATGTCTTGGATGCTGGCCTTGGTTTTGAATACTTCAACCTACAGGAAGATTATTTTCAACTTCTAAACTACAATGATTGTGAACTTCGTGCTTCTGAGTTTAGACGCTTGGCTTTAGATTTGCATTCTCAGAATGATGTCACTGTTGAAAGCCATGATGCTGCAATTGATGCTCTGCTATTAGCAGCAGAATGCCATGTAAATCCTTATTTTATGTTTTCTATTGGAGCCTCTTCAAAACTTGCTGACCTTTTGAACATTAATGAATGCAAAATGGTCCAGTCTCATCATGATAATGTCAAAGTTAAAAGAGCTTCTGGAAAGTGTAAACCTAATTTAGAAACTATTGCACAAATAGAAAGAAAAAGGGATAGACTTGTTTTTCACATACTTCTTGAGGCTGCAGAATTGGACAGGAAATATCATTCAAGAGTATCTAATGGGGAGGATGGTCCTTATGCTGCTGAAGGTTTTGATGAACAGGTTGTAAAGCTGTCTCCCCTTGATGTGCAATATGCAGATGCTCTAACCTTGGTTCGACAAAACCAAGCTCTGCTGTGTAACTTTTTGATCCAACGGTTGCAGGGAGATCAAATCTCCATGCATGAAATTCTCCTGCAGAGTCTTGTGTACTTTTTACACACGGGCACCAAATTATATTGTCCTCCAGAACATGTGATTGATATCATTTTAAAATATGCTGAAGACCTGAACAGGTTGCTGGCATCTTTTCATCACCAGCTAAAGGAAGGTAGTTTGCATTTGATGCAAGATAGAACACATGGGGTAGAACGACGTTGGTTACTGCTACAAAGATTGGTAATTGCTGCAAGTAGTGGATGTGAAGAGGAAAATTTTGGAACGAATGTCCAAAATAATTACCTCTCGGGAAATTTAATTCCTTCTTCAGCATGGATGCAGAGAATTTCTCATTTTTCTTGTTCGGTATACCCTTTGGTTCGATTTCTTGGTTGGATGGCAGTATCTCGTAATGCAAAGCAGTATATGAAGGACCAAATCTTCCTTGCGTCTGATTTGTCTCAGCTGACCTATTTACTTTCCATTTTTGCTGATGATCTAGCTGTTGTTGATGATGTTGTCAATAAAAGGTATGAAGAGGTAAAAATTGAAGATTCACAGGTTGAACATGGTTCTGTTGCTAAAAGAGAATTTGAACGAGGTAATCAATGTGATGAGGAACGATCTTTTTGTGCAATATATCCGGAACTGTGGAAGTTCTTTCCTAATATGAAAAGGCAATTTAAATCTTTTGGAGAAGCCATTTTAGAGGCTGTTGGTTTGCAACTGAGATCTGTTTCTTCCACTCTGGTGCCTGATGTTTTGTGTTGGTTTTCTGAGTTGTGTTCATGGCCATTTTCTTTTGCTTCTTCAGTTGGGGGTGATAATTTAAAAGGTTATAATGCAAAAAATGCCAGAGCAATAATCCTTTACATACTTGAAGCTATTATAGTGGAACACATGGAAGCTACGGTTCCTGAGACTCCTAAACTAGTGCAAGTGCTTGTGTCACTCTCAAGTTCTGCATACTGTGATGTGTCATTTCTTGACTCTGTTCTGCGTTTGTTGAAGCCCATCATTTCTTATTCTTTGTCCAAGACCTCTCATGATGAAAAGTTATTGGATGGTGATTCCTGTCTTAAATTTGAGGAATTATGTTTTAACATTCTTTTTGTGAAACTAGAACATAAGAGTGAGATAGAACATAGTTCTCAAGATAAAGGATACAATACAGCACTGGCTATTTTTATTTTGGCTTCAATTTTTCCTGATTTATCTATTCAATATAGGAGGGAGTTTTTGCAGTCTTTATTGAATCTGGCAAACTTTGCTGCTTTTGCCCCAACAACTTCTTTTTTTGATTATCTCAGTGCATTTCAATTTGTTATGGATAATTGCAAATTATTATTAGTGAATGCATTAACAGCATTTGGTGTGATTCCTCTTCAGCTACCCCCTTATCCTCATGCAAATGCTGGTGGGCTTTCTGATGATAACTTAAAACCAAATCCATGGTTTCTTAGTGATGTCTGTCACACATCATGTGAGAATGATGTTCATAATGCAGAAAGTAACAACTCTACTGCTGATGTTGGTCATTGTCATTTGCCTTCTGATGATTTAGAAGGCTTTTCTCAAGACATAGAGGGTCTCATTTCGAAGCTTAATCCAGCTATTGAGTGCTGTTGGAATCTTCATCATCAAATAAGTAGAAAGCTAACAATAGCATCAGCAGAATGTTTTGTCTTTTCAAAATGTTTGGCATCAGTTTCTCAAAAATTTCATAAAGCTGAAGATGATGATCAAAATTCATCACCAACTAAATCATCTGACATGCTCACACATCATTGGAGAATTGGTCTAAAAGGGCTTTGTGAATTGATTTCTATGCTCCAAGAAAGCAGTTGCTGGGAAGTTTCTTGCTTGATGCTTGATTGTTTACTTGGACTACCCTATAGCTTTTGCCTGGATAGTGTGGTGGGCTTGATATGTTCCACAATAAAGAATGTTTCTTGTAGTGCACCAAAAATCTCTTGGCGTTTGCAGAGTGATAAGTGGTTATCTTCTTTAATTGCTAGAGGCATCTATAACAGTCAGGAAAGTGAGGTTCCTCTGATAGATCTATTTTGTACACTGCTGGCCCATGCTGAACCTGAGCAACGTATTATAGCAATTAAGCATTTGGGAGTACTTATTGGACAGTGTATGAGTGGGGAAAGCTTTGTGATAAATTCTAAAATTTGCACTAACATCATTCCAAACAAGTTAGTTTTATCCATTCCTGATTATGTTCCATCTCGTCTGGTTTCTAGTACGTGGGATGAAGTTGTTGTACTGGCATCATCTGATTTGTCACTACAAATAAGGGTTCATGCAATGGCACTTCTTTCAAGTTACATTCCATTTGCTGAGCGCCATCACTTGCAATCTTTCCTTGTGGCAGCTGATAGCATTTGTTGTTTGTGTAATACACAACCATCGCAAGATGGTCCTATACTGCAACTTTCATTAGCTCTTATTGCTTATGCTTGCTTGTACTCACCAGCTGAAGATATTTCTTTGATTCCTCAAAATTTATGGGAAAATGTTGAAACCTTAGGGTCAACAAAGCATGGTATTCATCTTTATCCTTGCTATATCTGTATGAAATAGGCATTTTATTGGATCATGTTGTTTATCTTTTAACTTCAAATTTTGTTTAAAATTGTTTTTCTAGATGGCAAGCTTGGAGACCTTGAAAAGAGGACTTGTCAAGTGCTGTGTAGATTGAGGGATGAAGGAGATGAAGCCAAAGAGGTATCTTCTATAATGAAACTAGTTGTTCATGCCAGTGTAGACAAAAAAATTAAATCCTTTTCCTCTCCAAAGCATAATTTTGTATTTTTCTTTTTTCGTATCCCATAATGACTTTTAGTTATGCTTATATGTAAGGCCCTGAAAGAATTACTTTCTTCAAACTCTTCAAAGCAGAATGACCCAGACTTTGCTAATACACGTGAATCTATTCTCCAGGTAAATATACTTAAAACAACCATGTCATCTTTTCAATTTTGAGGAAAATCCAAATTTTGTTTTCATCAAAGTCAGTGATTATACTTGCAACTTGTAATAGTGCATCACTGCTGATAAATTTATTGACATGGAATCTTGAGTCCTAGTTAAGTTTGTGGTCTAAGTGAATAAACCAAAATGACTTTTCTTAATGTTGATTATGAATTATGATGTCTTAGATAGCATTCATTACATGTTAAATATGTGAATAGCTGTTATTAGAAATTAGGAGGCAGTTACTAAAATTTATCGATTTGATTTATTCTATATATTTATGACTGATTCTTTTGTGCCTTAATATATGATTATAAATAAGACTCGTGTGAACATACAATAGACAACTTTCAGGTATATTCCTTCTATAATATTGGTTTTCCTACTCTTATATTTAATGTTATGCTTGTTAAAATTTGACTAAACAGATTTGAACCTTTTGTTAATTTGAAGCACAAAGAAATTTGTCTTGCATGTAGAAAATTCCTTTTGGTTGGAAATACTAAAATTTCATTAAGAAGGAAAAGTGTTGTAATCTATTTATACCAAATCCTTGGGAATTTGTCTTGCATTTATACTATTTTCAGCTGTCATCATTCTAGTTGGTCATAGCCAAATTTTCTACAACTGCTTTATATCATGATTTTTAACATAGTGAATTTGCAACAGGTCCTTGGCAACTTAACCGCAGTTCACTCATACTTTGATTTATTCTCAAGGAAAATCGACCAAGATGATATGGTGTGTAGGGTCATTAACAAAATTCATTTATTATATTAAAAATTGTTTGATTAATTACATAAAGTTGAGTATTTTCTAGGAGCTTGAGGAGGCTGAGTTGGAGCTAGATATTATACAGAAGGAACATGCATTACCAGGACGAATGGAGGATTCCAAAGATTGGAATAAGATTCCAGGTCTACCCTGTAAGTATTTTATGGTCTAGCTCATATTGATTCTTGTAACCAAAACAGAAGTCTTTGTACAGTTGTTTTTGTTACAAAAAATCCTCCACCCCACTTCAAATTTGTTTTATAAATTTGAATTTTACAGCCTCCAAAAAAGATGTCTCAAGGCTTCAGCAAATCAGAGACTGCATTCGTTCGCTGTAAGTAGTTGTAATTTTCTCTTTTCAAGTATTGATAGACATCGACTTGGAAAAGAATGCTAATTTTTGAAACCCTGTTGATATGACATGATTTACTCACTTTGACTTTAATCTTTGAAATGTGTTCTTCATGCATTGTTTGATTAAGAGGATTCGCTTGCTTTCAAGTGTGAACCATTCTATAAACCTTCCCCTAGGATACAGTTGCCACGATAAATCTTACGGTTTCTTTATCAAATTAGTATGACAATTATTGAATTTGACTGTGCAGCGCTCTTGGGATAATGTATTTCATATTAGCTTGTACTTTTATCTTCCTTTTTGTACAGAAGGCCACTGTATCTTCAGTTCGGTTACTTTCTTCTCTTTAGTTAAAATATCTTGTTATCCCTCTCCTAGTGAACAAAAAAAAAAACATTGTAATCATTGGCAGCTTAGTTTCAGTTTACTGACACTTCTGAGTTTTTATTTTCTGTGTAAAATGTTACCATTTCTTTCAGTCTTTTACCTTTTTTGAAATCTTAACCATTTATGTTGTGATGAATGTGGCTTACTGTTTGAAACTTATTGCGTTGTTATCAGAGAAAAGTCCAAACTTAAAGAAGATATCATAGCCCGCAGGCAAAAGAAAGTACTTATGAGACATGCCCGTCAAAAATATTTGGAAGAAGTGGCTTCACGGGAAGCAGAACTTATGCAAGAACTTGATAGGTTTTAGTTTATTTAAGATTTTGGTCCTTGTTATATATTGTTTTGATTGTTTTTACTGGAAGCTGAGTATTTTTGCAATTATTCAATAGGGAGAGAGCAGTTGAAATTGAAAAGGAGCTGGAGAGACAAAGATTGCTAGAAATAGAGCGTGCTAAAACAAGGGAATTGCGTCATAATCTTGATATGGAAAAGGAGAGACAAACACAGGTAATCACATTCAAGAACAGGAATTGTTATTGTAAAATGATCCCTGGAGTTGATAAATTCAGTGATATTTTCCTTTTTAATCATAGCCATTTACTCTATAAAAAAGGAGATTAGAGAATGTACAAAACATACAATTAATATGCAGTTTTTTTTTTCCAACTAAAAGTATCCGTTGTAGGAAATTGTCTGCCCTTGTCTTCCTTCAGCTTTAGTAGTGCTTCTAAGTGAATGTTGGGACATCAAATGTTGTATTAATTGTTTTTGACCAACTTCTCATTTTGTTAGGTAAAATACTTTGCTTACTTTTGTCGTACTGCTATCATGTTTCAAAAAACATCCTTGTTTTTTGTGCAGTCAAGTATGTTGTTGTACTCTATTGAGTAGATGCACATGTCTTTTATATATAGTGTGTTTAGATGGGGAATTTAAATGGAGTAATTCAATTGTTTGAAGAATTTCAAATTCTTTGAGGTGAAATACCTTGTTTGGATGGAAAATTTATAAAGAATTTGAAATTCAAACATTTGTGAAATTCTTTAAAATAGTAGAATTTTAAATTCTTCAAAAAAAGTAAGAATTTGAAATTTCTCATATTTTTTTTTCTTATTTCACTTATATATTTTATTTTATCTCTTATCTCTTCATGTTTTTAATTATTGAATATTCAAAAATATTTTTAAAATTATTAAATATCATCTAATATTAATTTTTAAAATTATTAAGTATTTAAAAATTAGCTAATATTTATTTTTATAAAATTTAATTTAAAGATATCAACATATAAATATATTTTTAAAATCAATTTTATCATGGTGGAATCAAATTATCATATTCAATCTAACAATTTAAAATTTGATAAATTTGAATTGACTTATCCAAAAAAAATATTTTAAGAATGATAGAAATTGAAATCAAAGTAATTCAAATACCAATAATTTAAAATTCCTTGAATTTATAAAATTTCTCATCCAAATACACTTATGGTGTGTTTGGATGAGGAATTTATATAGGTTAATTCATTTATTTGAAGAATTTCAAATTCTTTGAGGTGAAATGCTTTGTTTGGATGAGGAATTTACAAAGAATTTGAAATCCAAGCATTTGTAAATTTCCTTAAAATAGTAGAATTTCAAATTCTCTCAAAAATGGGAGAATTTGAAATTCTTCATATTTGTTTTTCTTATTTCACCTATATATTTTATCTTATCTCTTCATTCTTTTAATTATTGGATATTCAAAAATATTTTTAAAATTATTAAATATTATCTTATATTAATTTTTAAAATTATTAAATATTATCTAATATTAATTTTTAAAATTATTAAATATTTAAAAATGGATTAATATTTATTTTTATAAAATTTAATTTAAAAATCTCAACATATAAATATATTTTTAAAATCAATTTTACTACGACGGAATCAAATTATCATATTTAACCTAACAATTTAAAATTTAAGAAATTTGAATTGACTCATCCAAACAAAATATTTTAAGAATGATAGAAATTGAAATCAAAGTAATTCAAATACCAAGAATTTAAAATTTTTTGAATTTGTAAAATTCTTCATCCAAACACACTATTAAGTCATTGACTCACTTGTTCTCATTTTTCACTTTTACAAGTCTTCTTTCAAAAGCACGTGCATTGTGTTCCTGCAAAGTGATAAGACTATGCTAATATAGTTTTACACGATAAAAGCGAGCATAAACATTGTGTTTTAGCATCGTTTTAATATGACATTAGGTTTCATCTTATGAAAACATGTATCGCCTTTTTGTTCTGTAAAACTTGTTTCTTTCAATTATCTTGTGTGGAAGACTCTTGTTATTTTATTAGGCTTATTTATTTTGTTTGTTTAACCAAAATACTCAGAGGATTGTGAAACATCCGTTTTCCTAACAGCTAGCATTTCTCTTCACTTGATAGGGTTACATCCCTAGTCCCTACAAAATAGAATGATCAACATTGTTGAGTGTTGCTTGGCATTAGAAACAGACTTGACGTAATTTGCTCCCAAAAGTTAGCTCAGGGGAAGAATTGCCCAATTCTTATAAGAACTTTTCTGATTGTATACCTAACCATTATGGGACATCTTAACACACCTCTCATGCCCAAGTCTGAACATTAGCTGGTGGCCCAACATTAAAACTGGATAAGCTATGATACTATATTAGAAACAAATTAGGCCTTGCTCACTCCTGAAAGTTAGCTCAAGGGAGGAGGGCTGCCCAAGTCTTGCAAGAATTATTCTAGTCATATTCCTAGCAAATGTAGAAAATCTTAACACCATGAATGACTGATGATGCTGAGTAATAGAGATATATAGAGAAGTTGAGGAAGAGAATATTTCTGAATTGTAAATATGTATTCAACCCACTGAATAGAAAGAGTAGATGTAGTTTATATAGAGACAACAGTTCTTAACAGAAGCTGTTGGGCTATAACAGCTGCTGGGCCATAAAAGAAAATAATAAATGACTAACAGCATCAACTGAGCAAGTTATACAACAGAAAATAATAAAACAGAATAATGCAAGGTCCTACACTAGTGCTGTACATATAAATAAAATAAGGAGTAAAACTATAGTCCAAAACTGAGGAAAAGTAAAGCATGGGAAGACTACCTAATGCTATATAGGTATTTATTGAGATTGCTGGCATATGCACCCCACCTAGGAAGTAAAACTAGGTAGTTTTTCTACATAAACTCCGTCTTTCATATCACCATGAAAGGAATTCTTGATGTCAAATTAATGAAGAGATCAGTGTCAAATAGCAACCATATCTACAATTTGTTCTGGTGTATGGTATTTTTGTTAAATCTCGTGGAGGAACAATATTCCTCAGTTCCAGTGGAATAGGTCCAGCAATCCTCAAGGATCCTGTTAGTAGGTATTCTTCAGAGTGTGGCATTCCTTTGTCGATTTCTTTGTTATTTCATTAAATTCCATTATCCTTGTCTTATGATATATATATATATATATATATA